TCCCTACACAAATAAAGCAGTAGTGTTAAGCATTTTACCTGTAGGCTGGGATTTCCAGTGTGCTTACAGTTCTCATCCACATTCAGTGAGAATTTAGTACCTGGCTCTATTAGTTTCCTTTTAGCAATTCTAGCTTCATAAAATCTAGCCTTCATGCTATAGTCATAAAGGCTAAAGCTGTCAGTGACACTTCTTGAATCTTTTATGGAGAAGTGCAAAAAACAGATTAGTGAAGAGTAACTAACCTGGTATCTTCAAGAAAGTTCCTTCTGCTGTGTTTCAAGGCTGCTCTGGCCTCCTACATATACAATTCCTACACACCTAATTTTGAGCTGTATGAAACCTGTTGATTCGTCCCGACATTCATCATTCATCTGTCATCAGTCACAAAATTGCCAGGTAGCTGCCAGTTTTCTTTAGTTACATAGTTGTATCTAATGTTTAAAGGTAGATAACGCCCACCCCAGTCCTCTTAGCTGTGAGAAGAATGTGAAGGTATCTTAAGCGAGATAAACTGAACCACTGGCTTCAATGTATATATCCTGATTCTTAACATAAGCCTACTTTTCTCTGCACTCTAGAATTTGGTTGGGCAGCCTGTTCTGCCTTTGTAGTGGTTGCCTGATTTTTCTGAGGTGCTGCATACTTGCAGATCCCATTCATCTTGGATCTCAATGCCTCTGAAAATCAGACCACGGATATCCAGACGATGAGCAAAGCTGAGAAGATAGCACTGGCAAACAAACAGAATTCTGTGTTCAATATTCAAGGCATATGGACATGGGGAGGGCTCCCATGTATTGAAAGAAGTGCGTAGTCCAGCTATAAGACTTAGAAGCATTAAAAAGTGCTCTATAACCAAGATGCAGCCATGCTAGCCCAAAACAGAAGCAGACAGCAAAGCATAACTTACTGTGACAAGCGGTCAGGTACCTGTTTATTGCTTGTTCATATATGAATACCTCATATGTTAGCAGCAGCTGCATAACAAATGACCTGATCTTCCCAATCATGTGGCTGGGGTTTTTTTATTCCTCTGTTTTCCTGTCAGCCAGACACAGGAAAACAGAACTAACCCAGAGTTAGGCAGAAAAACAGCTGAAAATAAACAATAACAAAGGAATTGGGGATGAACGCTTTCTCATCTTGCACATAGGAGCTGCCTGTTTGATATGTGTGTGGAAGGAGATGAGGATGCTACCCTATGTCGCAGTCTGCAAGAATACGTGTTGGCTTGTCAGGAGCAAGGAGTCCGTATGGAAGGCTGGAGGCAACAGACAGTTTGTGGTAAGCACAGGAAGAACCAGAAAGTATGGTTTCTGCCTAAAGGGCTCTCAAAATCTGAGATTTGAGGCTTTTCCTAGACGCACCGTATATCAAAGCTTCTCAGGGAGCAAAAGCATGTTGATTCATGCTTCAATCACAGTTCACAGTTTAGCATGAACACTTGCTCTTGTGGCCTCTCTTCTGTGTCCTATGCTGACTTTGGCATTTAGACCCCAGCTTAGAAAGCTACTTAGGAAAGCAGAGCTCCTCTGTCATCAGAAGTTTTGTGAGAGAAAAAAAAAGTCCCCATTCCCACTGGGCAAAAAAGTTAAAATTTTTGAAACCATCACAAGCCACAAACCTGAAGGAAAAACATTTCATTTCAATCTCTTTTTAAATCTACAAAATATACTAATTCTCTTTTTTACCTGTGAAATTTCAAGATACAAGATTCAACTGAAAACTCCAAATCTTTCAGACTAAAAAATGCTGAAATAAAACTTATAATAACATCAAACCTTTTTGTCCTAATTTTTTTTTTCCAAGTTGGGAGATTCATCAAACCATACTTCCCCTACATCACCCATGGTTAGATGACTTTGTATTCCTGGTGATACAGTTCCCAGAGTTGTGAAACAGCTCTGGTACTTGCAGGGATAGCTACCTTGAATGTGTGAGAAGTTATCTGAGATCAGTGAACACCAGGAATGAGGGCACAGCATTCAAAGAGCTTTGACAATGCATTTCCTGACTTTGGAGTGCTTTACTTACAACCTCAGTACTATTATATTTGTATGCACATCTCTGTGTATGTGTGTTCATCGTATTGCCTCCTACAAAATGGTAACATCCTCTGGATCTCAAAGGGCATTGTGTAAGTAAGTAACGCACAGCAACCCACTGTAACTGTACTCTCCTTATTTTTACAGCTATTTCATGTCCTGCCAACAGCAACTACAGCTCATGCATGTCTGCATGCCCGGCGTCCTGCAGCGATTTGACCAGCCCCTCTGAGTGTGAATTACCTTGTGTTGAAGGCTGTGAATGTCTCCCTGGCTATGTTCTTAGTGGTCTTGACTGCGTACCTTACAAACAATGTGGCTGCACATACCTTGACAGATATTATGAGGTACAGTCTCTCTGTGGGTCAGACAGCTCCCGCAGCACCAAACAATATTTTCTTCTGCTAATTATTTTGACAATCTCCTCATTCTCCTCAGCATGTAATTTCACATTAGAAACAAAGAGTAATTGTTTAATAAAATTCTGGTCTCTGGAGGAAGGGAAGAGAGAGTAGATCACTTGGTCTGCCTCTGCCTGCCAGAATACTCAAGGCAGGCATTTGAAGAAAGTATGATTACACTCTGACCTCCATGTAAATTCTCCACCTTTATTATGCTAAATAACAGCCTCATAGGCTCTAAAGTTTACAATACACCAGTTGCAGAGAAATTCTGTCAGTCACTGTGGTCCCTCTCCTCTCAGTGAAGGGTGGTATAGGAAGGTTGAGAGTCTGTAGAGTTGCCTATGACATGAAGAGAGCCCCAAGCAAGGCTGGATTCTGAGGAACACAGAGAATCCTCCATTATCGCTTCAGGAAAAAACAGCTTCATAATTTCATAGCTTTCTGTTTTAACACTAGAGATTTGGTACAGGAAAGGCCTAAACCAGGAAAGATTGTTTTATGGGAGGAGGGAGACACTTACTTACTATAAACAGGTGGCACTTGCCAGAAAAATGGCACATAGCATTTCCACATTGCCTTGGAGGCATGATGTGATGCATCTGCCACTCTCTCTTACCTCCAGCAACAGTTGGACACTGTTGGTTGCAGACATACCCCACCTGGGGCTAGGATCTCATACCCCAAACTCTTCTTTTTCCTGCTTTCTTGGGCCATCCTTGAGTTTCAAAGAGCTGGATTAATAAGCCGCTTGCTTTCTTTTTTGTACAAACTACTAAAAAAAACCCAAAACTGCACTGTTGCCATTCATCACAAAGGCATCAGAGAAAATAGCTTGGGGCCCCAGTGCTCCATTCATGTATTTTTCTGGCTAATTTTGACATTTTTTAACATTTAACTGCTGTCTTCCAGATTGGAGAAATATTCACCACCGATGACTGCTCTCAGAGATGCCAGTGCACAGACAGCTCCACTGTCTCCTGCTCTAACATAGCGTGTGGATCTGATGAAATCTGTGGCATTTCCAGCTACAGTCGTGGATGCTACAGGAGTGAGTCAACCATCATCACCTTGTCTTTGATGCTAAGAAGTCTTGACTTGCTGCTTATAGGACATCACTGGGTTGGGGATAGTTGCAACAGTGTGTACAGAAGGGATCTTGCTCTGATGTTTCATTATAGCAACAGTGTTTCTTTCCCTTATTCCTGTTGTCAAGTACAAGTAATGTGCCTTAAAATACAGGGGATGTCCAGCATTAGGAGTCAGTGTAATCTAAGCAAGAACAGTTTTCTCAGGGGTGGATTATCTGAGAGTCTGAAGTGTTTCTCCTTCCTTTTTGCTAGGTGGACCATGTATGCCAGATCCTTGTAAGAATGATGGAGTTTGCTCTGAAACTACCAACAGCTCTGCTTTCCCCTTCTACTGTGAATGTTCAGAACTGTACACAGGACCAAGCTGTGAGACTGAAAAGATTGGTAATAAAACTATTTTGGATTTCAGTGTCTGCATTACACACACCACTTTCAAAAATGGGTGTCATTATGGAGAAGACTGAGCTTACTCTTCATTTCCATGCTGTAAATTAGTAGCCCAGTGGGTGAGAGCCTGTGGTCATCCAAGCAGAAAGAAGGAATCAGATCCCCCAGTAGAGAGGTGCTAGAAGGCATGACAGCAGGGCTCTGTAGAGCATACAGGACCTGGGTCGGACACCACTCCAGAAAGCCACATTCATCAGAGAACGCAGTATAAACCAAGAAGACAGGCAAGGGTTGAGAAAAAGTTTCTGTTCACAGTATGGTTAGCTTCCACTAACAGGGCTCTTGTTTCTTCTTCATTTGAAGACCCTCCCATATTTGATCCTGTGGACCATACAATCGCCATCGTCATTGGAGTTGTGGCAGGTGTAGTTGTTATCGTCATTCTCATCTCCTCTGCAGTGTACCTTTACAGGTAAGGCTTTTCCCAGCTTTGCTATGTTCAGCCGAGTCAAGACACATACACCCCTTTTAGCACCTGTAAACCTCAAAACTCCCATTAATCACATACCTGCAGGACCAAAATCTGACTTCATTCATGCTCACACCATTATTTGACCTCTTTCTACAGCTAAGAATAGAAATTAAAAATGGTTGTTCTTTTTTTTTTTTTCCATTGTACAGAAGGAAGAAAAAGATGGATACAGCTCCAAATTCAAGGGATTCTTCTTTTAAATGGTCCAGGGATGAACCGGATGACAGAGTACATGATCAAGATTATGGCTGTATCATGAACACTGCATTTGATCAAAATGAATCCCAAAATACTTACCTATAGTTAGCAATATTTTTCCAATTCATTTGTATTACTTTCTGCTCTTGTATTTTAATAGTATTTCTAATAATTTGAGATGGTATAATAATAAATAAATCATTGCATTTGCTGAAAGCCTTTTTTGTATTTTAATAGTATTTCTAATACTTTGAGAAGAAATAATAATAAATAAATCATTTCATTTGCTGAAAACCTTTGAAATTGTTCATCTGAAATACCTCTCAGATCTCATGTTGTAGACCTAAATTGAAATATGTCCTAACTCACATAAAAGACTGTGTTGTCTTCAGAGGCTGTTTGAAAAACAAAGTCCAGACAGAATTTGCCAGCACAAGTGTGCTGCATAGCATTGCATACGCACCTCTGATAGATGGACAAACTGCAGACTGATGCAGTCAGAATTAATTATAGCATCCCAGGCAGATCTTCATGAGATCATCTTACCCAGTCCTTCCATGGGGAGCGTGCTGGGTCTTCCATGAGCTAACTGAGCTGGACACAGTCCTTACTCCTCTTCTGGCAAGGCATGTCCAACTGGGGAGAGAAATATATAAGAAGACACTGAGCTCATCTGGTGACAGGTGTAGTAAAAACGGTGACCCCCATTGTCCCCCTTGGGAGTGCTGGACTGAAAGAAGTGATTGTTTGAAGAAGAGCTGCCTCCTTGCTGTCAGGGTGGAGTGGACAAGAAGTAGGGCTGTCATCAGCCCCTGGCCTGTGGGGGCTAAGCAAGAGCATAACTTAACAAAAACTTTCTGAAGAATGAGATCCTGTCATAAACTCTCCTTGAGGTCTTTGCAAACTCTGAAGCTGCCGCGCTCCGATGAATGTGGGTAGATCTGCATCGGCTCAGTCCCAGACCATGCCAAGGACCACCCTACAGCAGAAGATCAAAGAGGTGTTTGTGGCAAGGCCTAATAACACGCAGTGTGCGGGACACCCACCCCATGACAGACCCCTCACAAGGCTCGGGGGACCAAGGCACTGCCTGGGCCTTGTACAAGCCCTGAATGAATTTCCGATGCCATGAGTGAAGCTTTGAGAGATAAGGCATGCACCATTAAGGCTTCTCTGATGCTTTTCCAGTTCTTTGCAGGTTCACTTCTGATTACAGTGAGGAACAGTGTGGGCTTCCCGTTGTTTCTGCCATAATGCTGGTTATTACTTACTTACCCTTTCTGCATCCCTTTATCTATAAACTCATGTGTGCTGTTAGCCAAAAAAGTATTTGTAACCTCCATGGACAGTTAGGCAGATAAAAGGCATTTTATTCTAGGCCATTCAAGAATACGCCAGCTGTCCATACACGCACAGCTCAGCTATTTTGGAGAGGATGTGAATGGAAACGGGCTTTCAGCCTCGTTACATAATGAAAATGAATCAGCACGAGAGACCTACCCATGCACAAATGAACTGTCAACCTTATGCTGGAATTTCACCGCAGTTATAAAAGCATTTTTCCTGCCTGTTCAGCGGCAGCTTCCTATTGCGCTCTTGCGCTTGGCAACAGTGCGATTCTGTGAACACTGAGCGGTGCTGACCACGCTTGCCTCCCCTCGCAGTTGGTGGGAGCACAGGCCCATCCCTAACCTGCAGGATCCCAACCCAGGTTCTCCCAAGCAACAGGCCCCAGCTGTGCCCAGGTAAAGCAGATTTCTGGGTTTCCATGGATACATCTTGCTATTTCAATACCTCAAGAATTGCCTTGGCTTTCCACTGCAAACCTTGCAAATACTTCAGATTTGAAACAGGGGCTGATACAGAGTGCAGAATTGCAATTCAGTGCTCCACCGAATTAACTATGTCATGTCAATAGAAGCCAGAGAGATGATGAATCTTCTGCTGCTCTGATCTTTTACATCAATTGGCTTGCTCATCTGACTTTCAAAATGCTGGGCTTCAAATACACTGCTGTCATGGTTTAAGCCCAGCCGGCAACTAAGCACCACACAGTCGCCCACTCACTCCCCCCAGTGGGATGGAGGAGAGAATTCGGAGAGTAAAAGTGAGAAAACTTGTGGGTTGAGATAAAGACAGTTTAGTAGGTAAAGCATCTATGAGCCACAGTCTCTGAGGAGCACCTGTTCCAGCATAGC